TATTATTCTTAGTTCTTTCGGTAAAGTCACGTTGAAGGGAAACAATAAAATAATAAAATATATATAAAACAATAAAAAATATTGGTCGAAACGTCGTGAGAATTTTTATTGTTTTATATATATTTTATTATTTTATTGTTTCCCTTCAACGTGACTTTACCGAAAGAAATAAGAATATGAATTACTGCAGTCACGAAAGCTTTAAATCAAAATAAAAAATGTTTTTTATTGTTTTTTTATTGTTTTTCTTATCGCCGTATAATCTTTAAAGTACCTTTCGTTCATAATCGCCGCACGTACTCGCGTACTCTACAGAATACTCAACTGTTCTGTGACCCAGTGTGCTAACAACGTGATAAGGGTTGCATATGATCAATAACGAGTGCGATACTGCGTGCACAATTCAAGTATAATCATTTATTATAAAGTTAAGGTTTTTGTTTAGCATAGCATTTGCATGTTTCAATGACTCTCTCTCTCACTAACAACAATCGCTTCATGCGGGATCCAGACGCCGTTGTCAAAGTGAAATCGTACAGTCGTTGATGATACTGTATTGATACCGTGTGGATACCGTGTTGAAGTTACGAGATTGAGAGTTCACATACTATTATAGTTAAGGTTTAATAAGAAATAAATTGATTAATACATAAGTGGTCGTGTGATTCTTTCCTGAAATTTTTGCATAAGGCCTGTATCCTGCGATGAGATATGAACTCGGGGACTTAACACATTAATCCATACTCAAGTAAATGTTAAAGCGAGAATCATTGTATTATGCTGATCGATAATACGAAGTAGACAACAAAGCAAAAATTGACACTAGCGTAACGGCATACGATTGATTGCATTATCCTGATTGATAACACCACCTCGTCAACGAGGCGGGGCCTGATTATCATGAAGGCTATCATCAACATAACCACACCCACTCGTATAAATTAATACGAGTACCTCTCAAATTAGCATAATTTTTATATGCATAATTACACGAATTAACATAATTTCTGATTAATTATGAAAATTTCAAATTTCATTTAATTTTCATTATTTTCATTAATTTTCACACACCCACATATACAACACTATGACCCCAAGAACACCATCCCCACCGTCAAACATGGAGGTGGAAACAATATGCTTTGGGGGTGTTTTTCTGCTTAGGGGACCGGACAACTTCACCGCATCAAAGGGACGATGGACGGGGCCATGAACCGTCAAATCTTGGGTGAGAACCTCCTTCCCTCAGCCAGGGCTTTGAAAATAGGTCGTGGACGGGTATTCCAGCATGACAATGACCCAAAACACACAGCCAAGGCAACAAAGGAGTGACTCAAGAAGAAGCACATTAAGGTCCTGGAGTGGCCTAGCCAGTCCCCAGACCTTAATCCCATAGAAAATCTGTGGAGGGAGCTGAAGGTTCGAGTTGCCAAACGTCAGCCTCGAAACCTTAATGACTTGGAGAAGATCTGCAAAGAGGAAAAAGACAAAATCCCTCCTGAGATGTGTGCAAACCTGGTGGCCAACTACAAGAAATGTCTGACCTCTGTGATTGCCAGCAAGGGTTTTGCCACCAAGTACTAAGTCATGTTTTGCAGAGGGGTCAAATACTCATTTCCCTCATTAAAATGCAAATCAATGTATAACATTTTTGACATGCGTTTTTATGGATTTTGTTGTTGTTATTCTGTCTCTCACTGTTCAAATAAACCTACCATTAAAATTAAAGACTGTTCATTTCTTTGTCAGTGGGCAAACGTACAAAATCAGCAGGGGATCAAATACTTTCTCCCTCACTGTACAACTAAGTCAGTGTTACTAACCTAACATTACAACTAAGTCAGTGTTGCTAAACTAACATTACAACTAAGTCAGTGTTACTATAATAACATTACAACTAAGTCAGTGTTACTAAACTAACATTACAACTAAGCCAGTGTTACTAAACTAACATTACAACTAAGTCAGTGTTACTAATCTAACATTACAACTAAGTCAGTGTTACTAAACTAACATTACAACTAAGTCAGTGTTACTAAACTAACATTACAACTAAGTCAGTGTTACTAATCTAACATTAAAACTAAGTCAGTGTTACTAAACTAACATTACAACTAAGCCAGTGTTACTAAACTAACATTACAACTAAGTCAGTGTTACTAAACTAACATTACAACTAAGTCAGTGTTACTAAACTAACATTACAACTAAGTCAGTGTTACTAAACTAACATTACAACTAAGTCGGTGTTACTAAACTAACATTACAACTAAGTCAGTGTTACTAAACTAACATTACAACTAAGTCAGTGTTACTAACCTAACAATAAAACTGACAAGATATTTAAGAAGCACATATATTGTACTATTAAAGATACTCTTCACCCCCCCCCTCTCTATTCACGCCCCCTCTCTCTTCATCCCCCCCCCTCTCTCTTCATCCCCCCCCTCTCTCTTCATCCCCCCCCCTCTCTTCATCCCCCCCCCTCTCTCTTCATCCCCCCCCCTCTCTCTCTTCATCCCCCCCCCCCTCTCTCTTCATCCCCCCCCTCTCTCTTCATCCCCCCCCCTCTCTCTTCATCCCCCCCCCTCTCTCTTCATCCCCCCCCCTCTCTCTTCATCCCCCCCCTCTCTCTTCATCCCCCCCCTCTCTTCACCCCCCTTCTCTCTTCATCCCCCCCCCTCTCTTCCCCCCCGTCTTCATCCCCCCCCTTTCTTCATCCCCCCCTCTCTCATCCCCCCCCCCCCTCTCCCTTCATCCCCCGCCTCTCTCTTCATCCCCCCCCTCTCTTCCCCCCCTATTCATCCCCCCCCCTTTCTTCATCCCCCCTCTCTCTTCATCCCCCCCCTCTCTTCCCCCCCTCTTCATCCACCCCCTTTCTTCATCCCCCCCCCCTCTCTCTTCATCCCCCCCTTCTCTCTTCATCCCCCCCCCTCTCTCTTTACCCCCCCCCTCTCTTCACCCCCCCTCTCTTCACCCCCCCCCCCCGACTGCGTAGCCACGGTGCACCACGGCAGGAGGAAGTTTGGTGAATGGGACAAGAAAAGGGAACGGGAGAAAAAAAAGAGAGCGGTGAGGAGAAAACGGACGTGGAATGAGAGGAGAATGAAGGAAGAATGAGCGGAGAAAGGGGATCAGAGGGGGTCTGGGGAGAGATGAGGAGAGCAAGGAAGAAGAGGCAGCAGCAGCGGCAGCGCCTCGACGCTGCCGCCGCTGCATGAAGAAAATGAGATGAGAGAGAAGGGAGATGGGAGGAGCGGCTTGTTTTCACAGGTGGGGAGAGGGGTTCAGAGTCGCGGTGGCCACACACAGATCACGTGGTTTGCAGGAGGCTTCAGCTGGTTTAGAGAGAGCAGGAGAGATCTATAGATCGGAGGTGAGGAGCGCAGAGAGGGGAGGGGGTGACCACGCACACACTCGATCACGTGCTCTATGTGCGGAAGCTTGAAAAAGCGTCGGGTGGTAGAGGGTTACGCGACAAAAACAAAAACTATTGCGGCCGAGTCATTGCGTGGCCTGCCCCAACCGTGGGACGGCGACTCCGCCCGCTCCGCCGCGGTGAGCAGCTCCCCACCGGTGCGGCGTGACTCTCGCCAGCCAGCGCGCTTGCGACGCCGCCACCGCCAGCACCACCGCGCACAGCCACATCGGCAGCCCCAGAATCTCACCCGGGTCCGTTCACACTTCCAACGGAGGTGGTTGCGTGACGTCCGCGGAGGAGACGGAGTGACATCAGTTCCGTGTGCAGGTGCTGCGTGGAGGCCTTCATCCAGCAGTGGATTGACCATGGCCGATGACGAATGGCACGAGCGCACGCGCCTCTGCTTGTTCACCGCGCACGTGACGTCAGTGGCAGCACGGCTCGGCTTCTGCAGTGGAAAAGCGGCCGGCGCTTTGTGCCGGTCTCGGCCCATCAGCGTGGCTCGGTTGTGACGGTAAAAAAAAGGGTCGTTCGTGTACGGCTTACTAAACTACTAAACTATTTAATGGGACCTCCTTTGCGAGTACCAAAATATGCAAATAGGTTTTCCCCTTTTTTCTGGCAACATCAGGTGTTAAGATGTTAAAACACCAAACTGAAACCTTTCACAAGGAATCATGTCTGTACTCAAGGAATCACGACGTTTCTATCGCAACACAAGCGGTGGTTCTCAGGCAGAAACAAATAATCCAGCAGTGGAACTGCTGGCAACTACATCGCCTGCTGTACGAACAAAATCGAGACGATAGTTGAATTCGTTGTGTTCGTTCAGTTTTTGAGGTCATCCAGATTAGTCGCTAATGGTGGCACAAAAACATGGTCTTTGACGTATCCCCACAAGAAAAAGTCGCAGGGTGTGATGTCTGGGGATCTTGGGGGCCAAATGTGTAGCGCAAGTCTTGGGGTCCCGTGCAACCTATCCAATGTGGAGGCAGTGTGTCTTGCGAATGACTGAGGCTAGGGGCTGTTTGTGCGCTGGGAGAGGCATCTAGCAGTGATCATTTGAAACGTCATGCCCCACCCTTTCAAGTGGTAAGAGTTTCATTCATGGGCGGTTCGTGATTGCAGAGATATAGCGATTTCAAATCGGGTCCACGTTTATGAAACACCCTGTATACAGCAGCAGGCATCGTCAAGGTCGAGATCGAATCCACGACCTCTTGCACACCAGGCGAGGTAGTCAACATCTCATAGCCACTGTGGTTTGTGCGGCGACGGTGCCAATGGAGCCGTCGGCGTGGCCGCATCCTCGCTCGGTGCCGGGCGCCGTCGCCGCGCGAGACCGTCGCCGCGCGAGACCGTCGCCGCGCGAGACCGTCGCCGCGCGAGACCGTCGCCGCGCGAGACCGTCGCCGCGCGAGACCGTCGCCACGCGTGGGGCCCTTGCACAACTGCAAACGAGAAGAGTGCCGAGCAGTCATTACCCCCTTTTGTCAACGTACAGTGTGAATGAAGTTCAAAACACACACACACACACGGATAGGCCATGCCTGCTGGTGATGATGACGACGACTACAAATGTGTACATATATATTTATTTTGTATCACGTTATCGCGCTCGGACGTAGCACCCGTCGGCAGTGGTTCGGCTAATCGGCACCTTCGCTGTGCCCACCGTCAATATTGCACCTCGCCTGTTGGGCGTCACCACCCGTACCCCCCCCCCCCCATTGGACTCTATTCCGAGGCTCCTAGGCTCCCACGCGCCCCCCCCCCCCCCGCCCTCGTGTGGCGTGGGGGAGGCCTCATCTAACAGTGGATAGACCAAGCACTGAGAGTCGTTATTGCACCCCACGGCTCAAGCCCGCGCCATCCCTGTTAGTAGCACCCGGTACACCACATCCTGTATAGCGCTCGCCTCTATGGGGGGGCCTTTGGCTCCCGACCCACAACCCCTAGCCACTAGCCCCTAGCCACTATCTCCTATCCGCTAGTCTCCATCCCCTATCGCCCTAACCACAAGACTTCCTCCCCTATCCACTAGTCCCCATCCCCTGGCCACTATCCCCCGGACTCGGTGTGAGCGAGGAATGCGAGGAGGAGCCGCGCCGTCTCGTGGGGCTGCTCCATCGTCACCGTGTGGCCGCAGTCGTCCAGCAGCTCCACACGGCACCGCGGCAGCACCGCCGAGAGCAGCGCCGCGCCGGACACGTCCAGCACCTGGGGGCCGCAACGTCGTCAACGTCGTCAACGTCGTCGTCGTCGTCGTCGTCGTCAACGTGGCCGTCGTCGTCAACGTCGTCAACGTCGTCGTCGTCAACATGGTCGTCGTCACTGTCCTCACCGTCGTCACCGTCGTGACCGTCGTCACGGTCATCACCGTCAACGTCATCATAAACGTCGCCAATGTCATCATCAATGTCGTCGACATCATCATCGTAATTTTCGTGGTCATCGCCAGAGTGGTGGTGGGGGGGGGGGCTCACCTGGTCCTGCTTGCCCCAGACGACGAGGGTGGGGGCTGTGATGAGGTGCATCGTCTCGTGGAGACGGAATCGCGACCGCTCCGCCGTTATTGCTGTGAGCACTGCGCAGACAGAGACACCGGTTCAACACCACCACCAACAACACCACCACCACTACCACCACCACCACAACAACAACCGCCATTCGCCACTAAGTGGCAGTGACGTCACCACGGCGCTTGTGCCAGGCTATGTGCACGTTGAGGCCACGTGAAATGTCGAACGCCCGCTGGCAGGAAGTCACGGGACAGACTCAGGTGCCATGGGTTGACCGAGTGAGATGACTGTCCAATGCACCACCTGTGCCACCTACTGTGCCAACTTGCTGTGTTTAGCCACCCAGTGCTCTGCTCATTGTTGTGAGTGTCGCTCCTCTGCACTCCGTTGTTGTTGGAGGGCGACTACCTCCAACTGCCCAGGAGCATCCTTCACGAGCCTCCTCCACAGAGGCCGATCTTGACACCGCTTGTACCAGTCATCGGCAAGTCCACTCAGCTCTACATCCTCCTGTACCACGTCACTCCATCTCATCTCTAGCACGTGCCGCGCCCGTTTAGCCCCCTCTATCCAGCTGAACAAAAGCTGTTTAGGCATACGGTGGCTGGGCATGTGAGCTACATGACCCAGCCAATACAGCCTTGCCTGCCAAAGGAGCTCGCAGATGGTACTTTATCCAGATCTTTCAAGGAATGTGTGAGGTCCTCACACAATCTAGCCTGGTTAAACTCAGGATGGATCATAGGCAGACCAGCCTAAATGTTTCTGACGAAGATGTTCCATTAGGGGCATCCACGTTTTGCAAGCGTAGAGAAGGGAGGGCATGATGGAGGCCGAGAAAATCTGAAGTTTTGTGTTAAGCAACAAACCAGGTAGCTTCCACATAGCGTTACACAGGTGATGAAAAAATAATGCCGCTTGACTGATTCGGAGTGAGACCTCTCCTATCAAACCAGAGCCAGTCATGAGCACACTGACAAGGTATGGAAAACTATCCACTCTTCACAACTGCCCCATCACCAACTGGGAGTTGTGGGGGTGGAGTGTCTGATGGTACAATATATCCAGGCAGGTGCTTAGTTTTGGTGGGGCTGATGGTAAGGCCCAACCTCTTAATGGCACGCTCCAGGTTCAGCAATAAGCAATAACCAGATCATCGGCATATGTAACATGGTTGACCAATAGGAATAGGGAGCCATCCCTTGACTGCACCCGGGCATCGATTAACCTCTCATTGTATCTGTACCAGATATAAATTCCTCCGGGACAGCCATCAAAGGCTTCACGAACTAGGTGGTCGAAATAGATGTTAAATATTGTGGGAGCCAGAGACCATCCCTGTCGCACCCAAAGGTGAACAGGGAATGGCTCCAACTCCCGAACATGTAGTTTTACCTGGGTCCGCTCACCATCATAAAGGTCCTTAATGATTGTGAGCAGAGAGTCAGGGATTCCAAAAGCACTAATAACAACCCATCGCCCAGGCCTACTGATGGTATCATAGGCCTTTACCAGGTCAATAAAGCAGAGATGTAGGTCTTGTTGGAATTCCCTACACCTCTGCTGTAGCAGACAGACAGAAAATATGAAACCGCATTGGGGCTACGCAAGCCTCTCCTCAGCATGCCTAGCAAGGCGATGTTGAATAATCCTTGCCAGGACCTTTCTTGATGCACTGAGGAGTGAGATGCCCCTGTAGTTGTTACAGTCTGTGCAGTCTCCCTTCTTAAAGAGGAGGACCACCTGGGCATCCTTCCAATCCTGCGGAACCTGTCCAGTGGTCCAGACTGTTTTTATGATGTCATTTAGGGCAGTCTATTCACAAACGCCACCCTCCCTCAGCATTTTGCTCGGGAGATCATCTCTGCCCGGTGCTTTTCCTGGTCTCAAGACTCTGGATCGCCTTCAGTACTTCAGCAACAGCTGGCACCTCAGCCAGCCACAAACAGGGGGCAACTACTTCATCCAATATTTGAGGCACTGCATCATCAGCAGGGTCATCCCCACTTTTCCTGATGATGTTTTCCAGGCTAGGGATTTCCCTTCCCCCAAGACCTCAGAAATGCTCAGCAAACCTGCAAACCTGTTCTTGGGGGTCAGAGATTGGATCGCCGTTCTTTCACCAATGATGGTGATAGATGTCGCATTGCAAATTACTTTTTTTAATGGAGTTAAAAAGTGATTTGTGATCATGGGCCCCTGAGGCAGATTCCATCTCCTCAGCAACCTGTGACCACCACCTATCCTTGCAGTGCCTCACGGCTCTCCGAACCTCCGAGCGAAGACTGCGGTAAACCTCCTCAATCTCTGACATGGGAAGCTGTAGACGATAAGAGTGGGCCTGCCACTTTTTCTCAGCCAGCCTTAAATACTTCCTGTCAGCCAGGGTGTCTAGGGAAGTTTGGACCATGTACCCAAAGCAGCCATTGCAGCTGCATGAGCCACAGTCCTAAACCTCGCCCATTTCCCCTTGGCATCAGGAGGAGTGGGGGACGATACCAACCCCAGCTGCAAGCGATAATACAATTATCGCTAGCAACTTTAATCAGCTAGCTGAGACCAGGCCGCTGTGGGTTTGAATGGGGTCCTGGGTGTACATCCACCACCAGAGTGGAAGAATGGCAGGCGCATCTTACAGATAATAAGTCGATGGTCAGTGGGCAGATCAGCTCCACGGTAGGTCCTAGTGTCAAGGACATGGGCCCGCTGTTCCGTCACTATATAGTCCAGCATATGCTCTTGCTTGGACCCGTCATGCATCCATGATGTTGTATAGATGCGCTGATGCCAGAACAGCATGTTGCTAATTACAAGCCCATGGGCTGCATAAAAGTCTAGCAGCCTCTGACCATTGTAATTGAGCTGATCTGGCCCATGCTTTCCAATCACTCCAGACCAGGTGCCAGCATCATGACCAACTCGGCAGAATTCTAGGCGGTACTGGTCCAGCTCCCGACACAGGAGTGGAAGCTTCTCCCCCGAATTATGCGTTCGAACATTCCACGTGGCCACGCGCAGTGGCTTTTTGCTGTTTCTGGAGGAACCCCGAGGGTAAGGATTCAATCTCCTGGCTCCGCAAAATGGGGTTTGGCCAGGAGACATCATAGACACCTGTTCCCCCGGGGCCTCTGGCACAAGCTTAGCTGGATATTTTGTTCGTGGTTTAGTGGTAATTAATTGAAGGTGGAGGGGTTACCAGACCCTCGCACCCATCGAGAGCCTCCTTTGGCCGCTGTGATGGCTACGAAAGCCATGAGGGGAATGGCCCATCGAAATTGGCCCTCTGCCCATGGCACTGCTCACCACAATGTTACCGTCTGGACCCATCCGCAAACATCACCACAATCTTGATTTAAAGCTTTCGTGACTGCAGGGATTCATATTCTTGGTTCTTTCGGTAAAGTCACATAGAAGGGACCCTTCTACGTGACTTTACCAAAAGAACCAAAAATATATACCACCACAATCGCCATCACCACCAACTACAACACCACCACTACCAGCAACACCACCACCACAACCGCCGCCACCACTGTCGCCACAACCAACTACAACAAAGATCCCCCATATGCTAGTGGAGATGGTTATGGTAGTGGTGGTGATGGTGGTGGTTGTGGAGATGGTCGTAGTGGTGATGGTGGTGGTGATGATGATGGAGATGGTTGTGGTGGTGATGATGGTGATGATGGTCGTAGTGGAAATGGTCGTGGTGGTGGTGTTGATGATGATGATGGTGGTGGTGTTGATGGTGGTGATGGCGGTGATGGCGGTGAAGGTGGTGGATGCGTGCCGTCGCTCACGCTGGAGGTAGAAATCGTTGTGGTCATGCCGCACGTCCACCATGGCCTGCAGGATCTGCAGCAACGACCACGCGCACAGGAGGGGCAACCACCCACGCCACCCATTAACGCTCGCCCACGCTCACCCATTAACGCTCGCCCATGCTCTCCCGCAATGCTCGCCCACGCTCACCTGCGACACTCACCCACGCTCGCTAACGCTCTCCCGCAATGCTCGCCCATGCTCACCCATTAACGCTCGCCAGCAAACGCACGGCAATGCTCGCTCACATGGGGGTGGACTAGCTGTGGTTGTCCACTATGTCGTGCCCCAAGCCACATGGCGAGACAAGCCTGGCGATGGCATGGACATTTCTGTGTGGTGAGTCTATGGGTCTCTGTGTGGTAAGTCTATCGGTCTCTGTGTGACTCTGTGGGTTTCTGTGCGAGTCTATAGGTCTCTGTGTGGCGAGTCTATGGGTCTGGCTGTGAGTCTATGGGTCTCTGTGTGAGTCTCTGGTTCTCATTGTGAGTTGTGCAGTCTCTGTGTGACTCTGTGGGTCTCTGTGTGAGTCTATGGGTCTCTATGTGAGTCTATGGGTCTCTTTGTGAGTCTATCTGTCTGTATGAGTCTATCGGTCTCTGTGCGAGTCTATCGGTCTCTGTGCGAGTCTATCGGTCTCTGTGCGAGTCTAAGGGTCTCTGTAGTGGGTCTATGGGTCTCTGTGTGGTGAGTCTATCGGTCTCTGTGTGAGTTTGTGGGTTTCTGTGTGAGTCTATGGGTCTCTGTGTGGTGAGTCTATGGGTCTCTGTGTGAGTTTTGGAGTCTCTGTGTGACTCTGTGGGCCTCTGTGTGAGTCTATGGGTCTCTGTTTGGCGAGTCTATCGGTCTCTGTGTGAGTTTGTGGGTTTCTGTGTGAGTCTATGGGTCTCTGTGTGGTGAGTCTATGGGTCTCTGTGTGGTGAGTCTATCGGTCTCTGTGTGAGTTTTGGAGTCTCTGTGTGACTCTATGGGTCTCTGTGTGAGTCTATGGGTCTCTGTGTGAGTATATGGGTCTCTTTGTGAGTATCGATCTCTGTGTGTGTATACGAGTCTCTGTGTGTGTATATGGGTCTCTGTGTGTGTCTATGGGTCTCTGTGTGTGTCTATGGGTCTCTGTGTGTGTCTATGGGTATCTGTGTGTGTCTATGGGTATCTGTGTGAGTCTGCGGGGATCCATGTGAGTCTACGGGCGCGTCTGCACGTCGCACCTGCCGCGGCAGCTTGAAGCTGTACGTCACCAGCTGCAGCATGCGTGCCACCTGCGCGGGCGAGCGCGGGATGAGGGAGACGCCGGTGAAGTCGCCCGCGGCCTCGGCCGCCCGCAGCTCCCCCACGAAGCGGCTCTCCGTCGGCGCGTCCAGACCTGGGGGGGGTGGTGGGAGGACCGCGGCGTGGTGCCAACACGTTCACCGTCACGCCGGCTCCATGGGCACGTCACCGCCATGATGCGTGTGGCACCCGCGAGTGCGATGCTGTGAGTGAGCGAGGCTGAGTGTGGCACCGTGAGTGTTGTGCTGCGTGTGGCACTGTGAGTTTGGCATCGCGAGTGTTGTGTTGCTCATGGCACCGTGAGTGTTGTGCTGCGTGTGGCACTGCACCCACCGGCGGGACAAATGAGAGTGAGTGTGTGGACATCCCCGGGGTGGGTGGCTGCGTAGACCCCGGCCACGCCGCCACCCATGGACGTGCCCACGAGATGGAACGGAGCCGCGTCCAGCCCCACCGCAGCCACAAACTGTGCAGGGCAACGTGGGTTAGAGAGCTCGCGATCGTCACGCACGCTACAAAAGTCCCCCGAGTAGCCTCTTAACAGACTGTAGTGGCAAGTGCCGTCAGCGAGCGGTGCCCATGAAGGCCGGCGCAACACATGAGAGGGTGGAGGGCCAGCAACACGCCCGGCCGAACTTTTTGTCTTCCCGGTTCAAATATTCGTCACTGTTATTGGCCGTGAGCGGGAATCAAACTCGGGTTGCCGGGTTCGTAGCGCAGCGTGCACTACCACGCCCGCACACCCCCACGCCCGCACACCCCCACGCCCGCACACCCCCACACACCCCACCTGCTTGACGCGGGTGACTTGCCCCTGCAGGGAATAGTCGTCACCGTGTGCGCGCGTCGTCCCTTCATGACCCGGCATGTCCACACATACCACGTGGCGGTCACGTGGCAGGAACTGTGGAGACAAAGACACCCCCCACCCCAACCATGCAACGGTCAGTCACCCACAGGGTCACTCTTCCAGCGCCGCTACCGCGGTCGCTGTTCCCGTAAACTTAACGTGCCGATTCCTCCTCCACCTGTTGCTGCCGGACACTTTGCTATCTTATCCACAGTGGTCAACAAGCACCACAAACTCGACACTCGTTCACGCACGCACTCTACAGAACTTCCCGCTTTGAGGCACAAGCGTCATCACCGCTCCACCACCACCACCACGAGCCACTAACCTCTGCACTACCACCCTGAGCCACCACCCCCGCACCACCAACCGGCCCCGCACCCTCACCCGCAGCAGGGGCAGCCACATGTCCTTGTTGGCGGAGAACGCATGCAGGAAAAGGAGGCTGGGCCGTGTTACGGTTGCACCGCCACCGCCACTGCCGGCACCACCGCCGGCACGCCGGCCCAGCTCCGAGTAGCAGAACGTGAATGCCCCACAGCGGCACTCGCGTATCTGGAAGCCCAGCTGGGTTCGCCAGTACCTGCCAGGGGAAGGGGGACACAAATGGACACGGAGGGGGTTGAGGGCACAAGGAGACACCGTCACGGTGAGTGGTGCAGACACGCGGGGACGCTGTGGCATAAGGGACCTCCCCCAGTGGCAGCCGTCTCTGTGCGGCCTGCAGGGGGCACTCGCCGCTCACCTCTACCGTGCGGGCACCACCCCAGCAGGGGGGTGGGGAAGGGTCACATCGCGGGCACGGGGCTCGGGGTAGGGTCAATGGGGTCAGGGTGGGGTCAGGGTGGGGTCAGGGTGTCAAAAATATGAGGGCGGGGTGTGGGGTGAGGGCAGGATGATGATAGGGTGAGTGTAGGGTGAGTGTGGGGTGAGGGCGCGAGGGGTGACCCACCAGTCGTGCAGGTAGAGGAACACCGACGGCTGGAAGAGCCAGTAGTACGCAAAGAGCAGCAGCGGCAGGGACAGGGTCAAGGTCATCGGGTCAAGGGGCAGGGGCAGGCCCGACAGGGACTCCAGCATCCTGATAGACACGGGGACACGGCAGGGGCGGCAACACCACGGGGTGAGTGTGTGGGTGAGTGGGTGGGTGTGAAGGCCGGATCGTGTACCGATCCAGCCTTCATAGGTGCTCACAAACAGCACTTGCCCCTACAGTCTGTTAAGGCTATACGGGGGATCTTTGTCTTTGTGTGAGTGGGTGACTGGGTGAGCGTGTGGGTGAGCATGTGGGTGAGTGGGTGGGTGTGTAGGGGGGTGTGGGGAGCGATAGTGTAGCGGTTAGCACATTGCGCTATGAACCTGGCGACCCGGGTTCGATTCCCACTCACGGCCAACACCAGTGACGATTATCTGAACCGGTCCCAGGCCTCCACTAGGTCGACTCAGCCTCAAATGAGTACCTGGTGTGGTGTGTATACATCGTCACTAGGGAGACAAAGGCGGTGGGGCGTGGTGCTGGCCACCCACCCCCTCGTGTACCGTTCCAGCCTTCATAGGTGCTCGCTAACAGCACTTGCCCCTACAGTCTGTTAAGGCTATACGGGGGATCTTTTTGTGTGGGGGGGGGGGGTGAATGGATGGGTGTGTGAGTGGGTGACTGGGTGAGCGTGTGGGTGAGTGGGTGAATGTGTGTGGGGGGGTGAATGGATGGGTGTGTGAGTGGGTGACTGGGTGAGCGTGTGGTTGAGTGGGTGGGTGTGTGGGGGGGTGTATGGATGGGTGTGTGAGTGAGTGACTGGGTGAGCGTGTGGGTGGGTGGGTGTGTGGGGGGGTGAATGGATGGGTGGGTGACTGGGTGAACGTGTGGGTGAGCGGGTGGGTGTGTGTGGGGGGTGAATGGATGGGTGTGTGAGTGGGTGACTGTGTGAGCGTGCCCTATATGACATCATAACAACAGTCTGGACCACTGGACAGGTTCTGCAGGATTGGAAGGATGCCTTGGTGGTCCCCCTCTTTAAGAAGGGGGACCGCACAGACTGTAACAACTACAGGGGCATCTCACTCCTCAGTGTGCCGGGAAAGGTCCTGGCAAGGATTATTCAACATCGCCTTGCCAGGCACGCTGAGGGGAGACTTGCGGAGCCTCAATGCGGTTTCAGGAAAGGGCGGTCCTGTACGGATGCCATATTTTCTATCCGTCTGCTACAGCAGAGGTGTAGGGAATTCCAGCAAGACCTACATCTCTGCTTTATTGACCTGGTCAAGGCCTATGATACCATCAGTAGGCCTGGGCTCTGGGTTGTTCTTCGTGCTTTTGGAGTACCTGACCCTCTGCTCACAATCATTAAGGACCTTCATGATGGTGAGCGGGCCCGGGTAAAACTACGTGGCCAGGAGTCAGAGCCATTCCCTGTACACCTTGGGATGCGACAGGGATGTCCTCTGGCTCCCACATTATTTAACATCTATTTGACCACGTAGTTCGTGAAGCCTTCAATAGCTGTACCGGGGGAATCTCCATATGGTACAGATATAATGGGAGGCTGATCGATGCCCGGGTGCGGTCAAGGGATGGCTCCCTATTGCTCAACCACGTTATGTATGCCGATGATTTGGTAATAGCTGCTCATTCAGAGGAGGAGTTGGAGACGCTGCTGTTGAGACTGGAGCGTGCTACTAAGAGATGGGGCCTTACCATCAGCCCCATCAAAACTAAGCACCTGCCTGGGTATTTTGTACCATCGGACACTCCACCCCCACAACTCCCAATCGGTGATGGGGCAGTTGTGGAGAGAGTGGAGAGTTTCCCATACCTGGGCAGTGTGCTTATGACCGGCTACAGTTTAACAGCAGAGGTTTCACTCCGAATCAGTCGAGTGGCAATATCTTTTCATCGGTTGCGTAATGCTGTGTGGAAGCTACCTCGTCTGTCGCTCCGCACTAAGCTTCAGGTCTTCTCGGCCACGGTCATTCCCTCCCTTCTCTACGCTTGCGAAACGTGGACCCCCCTAATGGAACATCTTCGCCGGTTAGAAACATTCAGGCTGGCCTGCCTACGATCCATCCTGGGTTTAACCAGGCTGGATTGTGTGAGGAGCTCACAAATCCTTGAAAGATCTGGGCACGGTCCCATCGGTGAGCTCCTCCGGCAGGCAAGGCTGCGTTGGCTGGGTCAAGTAGCCCGCATGCCCAGCCACCGCATGCCGAAACAGCTTTTGTTCGGCCGGATCGAGGGGGCTAAACGGGCGCGGCACGGGCTAGAGAAGAGATAGAGTGATGTGGGACAGGAGGACGTGGAGCTGAGTAGACTTGCCGATGACTGGTACCAGCGGTGTCAAGATCGGCCTCTGTGGAGGAGGCTAATGAAGGACGCTACTGGGCAGTTGGAGGCAGTCGCCCTCCAACAACAACGGAGGGCGGAGGAGCGACGCTCACAACAACGAGCGGAGCGCCGGGTGGCTAAAGCACAGCAGGTTGGCACAGTAGGGGGCACAAGTGGTGCATCAGCCAGTCATCTCAGTCAGTCGACCCGTGGCACCTGGGTCTGCCCCGTGACCTCCTGCCAGCGGGCGTTCGACACTCCACGTGGCCTCAATGTGCACATGGCCTGGCACAAGCGTCGTGGTTACGTTTAAGTTTTAGTTTCATAGTTTATTTATTTGGTATAGCCCTGTGAGCCATTCGGCTCTTGAATCGGGTGCAACCTCAACAAACAAAAAACATGAACAAGAAAACATCTTAAAGTGATTATGTGACTGTGCAAACAGAAAATCCAGGAAAAAAACATCAAAATATTCCTGAAATAGCACCGTACACCAACGCTGTGTGCAAAAATCCCAGTGGGATGCAAGTCAAATAACAACAACAACAACCACAAGACAACTAAGATTAAGGCCATCAGTCTAACTAACGTCACCGCCACTTAGTGGCGAATGGCCGTTGTTGTTTGGGGGGGTGAATGGATGGGTGTGTGAGTGGGTGACTGGGTGAGCGTGTGGGTGAGTGGGTGGATGTGTGGGGGGGTGTGTGGGGGGGTGGATGTGTGGGGGGGTGGGTGTGTGGTGGGGGGGAGTAGGTGACTGTGGGCGAGTGGGTCGGTGTTTGGGGGGTGAGTGGGGGGGTGGGTGGTTGAGTGTGTGGGTCACTGTGAGTGTGGGTGACTGTGAGGGTGTGGGTCACTGTCAACAAGCGAGGAGACTCACCTTGGCAGGGGCGACGCGTAGCCTCAGGTCCGCGTCTCCGTTTCCCTGTGTGCCCGTGTCTCCCTGTCCCCGTGTCTCCCTGTGTCCCCGTGTCTCTCTCTGTCCCCGTGTCTCTGCTCCCCGTGTCTTCGCTACCCTGTTTCTCCGCGTGTCTCTCCGTGTGTCTCCCCGTGTGTCTCTCCGTGTGTCTCTCCGTGTCTCTCCCCGTGTCTCTCCGCGTGTCTTTCCGCGTCTCCCCGTGTGTCTCCCCGTGTGTCTCTCCGTGTGTCTCTCCGTGTCTCTCCCCGTGTGTCTCTCCGCGTGTCTCTCCGTGTCTCCCCGCGTGTCTCTCCGTCTCCCCGTGTGTCTCCCCGTGTGTCTCTCCGTGTCTCTCCCCGTGTCTCTCCCCGTGTCTCTCCGTGTGTCTCCCACCCCGTATCTCCCGGAGTCTCCGGCGCGAGGGACTTTTAATCTGAAGCGGCCCGCCCCGCCCCCTCCACAGGCCCCGCCCCCCTCCGACCGGTGGCGCGAGGCGGGCAGCCAATCGGAAGGCTGCTTCGGTTGATTGACGGCGCCGCGTGAGGTTGGGACCCGGGATGGTAGTGGTGGGGGTGGTCTCGGCCGTGACGTCACGCAATATCGTATCGCGATGTGGAGATCCACGATATGGCGATTATCGCGATATCAGCTTCGTTGCGACAACGCCGTTCGCAATCGCGCGCGTTGCGTCACCGTCTTTATGTTTGATCGCTTGCACGCTGTTCTGTTGTTATTATGTTGTTATTATGTTGTTATTATTGTGTTGTTATTATTGTGTATTATTGTGGGAAGCGGTTAGTACTTCGCTGCGCTTCTAACCCGGCGATTATCTGAACCGGTCCTGGGCCTCCCCAAGGTCGACTCAGCCTAAAATGAGTACCTGGTGCCATGTGTAAACATCATCACTGGGGAGACAAAGGCGGCCGGGCGTGGTGCTGGCCACTCACCTCCTCGTGTGCCGTTCCGGTCTTCAATGGTGCTACTCGCTAACAGCACTTGCCCCGACAGCCTCGTAAGGCTATAGGGGGATCTTTGGATTTGTCTTATTGTACATTATTATTGTGTATTATTATTGTGCATTATTACGTGTATTGTGTATTATTGTGTGTATTGTGTATTATGGTGTGTATTATTGTGCATTATTATTGTGTATTATTGTGTGTATTATCGTGTGTATTGTGTGTATTAGTGTGTGTATTGTGTGTTTTTGTGTATTATTGTGTGTATTAGTATGTATTCTGTGTATTATTGTGTATTAGTGTGTGTATTATTGTGTATGTGTGTGTATTATTGTGTATTTTTGTGTGCAGTGTGTAGTATTGTGTGTATTATTGTGTGTATTGTGTGTATTATTGTGTATGTGTGTGTATTATTGTGTATTTTGTGTATAGTGTGTAGTATTGTGTGTATTATTGTATTATTGTGTGTACTATTGTGTATTATCGCGTATTATTGTGTATTATTGTGTATTCATCTTCTTTGGTTATTTCGTAAAGTCACGTAGAATGAGAATAAAAGAATAAAATAAAATAAGACAATAAAATTCTCACGACGTTTCGGCCACAACACAAGTAGCCTTCCTCAGGTGAAGGAACAGAAGCTCTGTCGTCCCGACGGTTCTGTTCCTTCACCTGAGGAAGGCTACTTGTGTTGTGGCAGAAACGTCGTGAGAATTTTATTGTCTTATTTTATTTTATTATTTTATTCTCATTCTACGTGACTTTACCGAAAGAACCAAAGAAGATGAATCCTCGCAGTCACGAAAGCTTTAAATCGAAATTGTCCGTATTATTGCGTGTATTATTGTGTACCATTGTGTGTATTATAGTGTGTATTATTGTGTTTATTATTACATGTATTATTTTGTCTATTAGTGTGTGTATTATTGTGCATTAGTGTGTTTTATTGTGTGTATATGTGTGTATTATTGCGTGTATTGTTGTGTATTATTACTACTACTACCGTGCTGTATCGTTCAGTACTAATACTGCATTAGGGTTGTTCGCCGGTTTACCGGTTCACATGCTGCTGAAAACCGGTTTAGATGGACAGAGTCGTAAAACTATTTAAAAACTCGCCTTTTGCCCGTCCAAGGACGGTGGCATTGCAGTAAATCTGAAACTTGCAAGTGACAAGCAGACCGCGACGTGATATTCATTGCATCCAGTTCGCGTGCAATTTGTAAGGGCGCGGTGGCAGACTTATTTCATGTAAAGGTTGTAATCCCTTGTTCATCATGACGACGTCCTTTTTACTTCGATGTCTCAACAGCGTCACGGGCATCACGTGACGTGAGGGTTCTCCCTTTGTAGTGAGGGTTGTAAGTTGACGCTGAGGAGGGGGGAGGAGGCGCCTTACCATCAGCCCCACCAAAACTAAGCACCTGCCTGGGTATTTTGTACCATCGGACACTCCACCCCCACAACTCCCAATCGGTGATGGGGCAGTTGTGGAGAGAGTGGAGAGTTTCCCATACCTGGGCAGTGTGCTTATGACTGGCTCCAGTTTAACAGCAGAGGTCTCACTCCGAATCAGTCGAGCGGCAATATCTTTTCATCGGTTGCGTAACGCTGTGTGGAAGCTACCTGGTCTGTCGCTCCGCACTAAGCTTCAGGTCTTCTCGGCCACGGTCATTCCCTCCCTTCTCTACGCTTGCGAAACGTGGACCCCCCTAATGGAACATCTTCGCCGGTTAGAAACATTTAGGCTGGCCTGCCTACGATCCATCCTGGGTTTAACCAGACTGGATTGTGTGAGGAGCTCACAAATCCTTGAAAGATCTGGGCAGGGTCCCATCGGTGAGCTCCTCCGGCAGGCAAGGCTGCGATGGCTGGGTCATGTAGCCCGCATGCCCAGCCACCGCATGCCGAAACAGCTTTTGTTTGGCCGGATTGAGGGGGCTAAGCGGGCGCGGCACGGGCTAGAGAAGAGATGGAGTGATGTGGTACAGGAGGACGTGGAGCTGAGTGGACTTGCCGATGACTGGTACCAGCGGTGTCAAGATCGGCCTCTGTGGAGGAGGCTCGTGAAGGATGCTACTGGGCAGTTGGAGGCAGTCGCCCTCCAACAACAACGGAGGGCGGAGGAGCGACGCTCACAACAGCGAGCGGAGCGCCGGGTGGCTAAAGCACAGCAGGTTGGCACAGTAGGGGGCACAGGTGGTGCATCAGCCAGTCATCTCAGTCAGTCGACCCGTGGCACCTGGGTCTGCCCCGTGACCTCCTGCCAGCGGGCGTTCGACACTTCACGTGGCCTCAGGGTGCACATAGCCTGGCACAAGCGTCGTGGTGACGTCACCGCCACTTAGTGGCGAATGGCGGTTGTTGTTGTTGGAGGCGCCTCGTCCCCCCCCCCCCCCCCCGTCATGTGGAGTGACGTCAGCAGCTAATTAATATTAATGGAGGGGGGTGTCCATTTGGAGGACGTCACTTCTTCATGGTTATTGATGTGGGGGGCTGTTCGATGTGGAGTGACGTCACCTGCTCATTATTTTTAATGAGGGGGGGTGCTCCATGTCGAGTGACGTCACCTGCTCATGACTATTAATGAGGGGGGGTCCATGTGGAGGACGTCACCTGTTCATGATTATTAATGAGGGGGGCTGGCCGACGTGGAGTGACGTCACGCGCGGGACACAGACATTTTTGGCTCATTATCGTAATGAATATATTTTTATTTTACCAAGTAAGGCGCATTGAGCTATGTTACTCTCTTTCAGTAGCGACCTGGCCATCACAAATGATAGCTCATCGAAGTGGTGGCTTATCATCATCATGTGGACATTTGTAGCAGCAGGAAAATACTCTCTAAACGCGCGATGTTGATTCTAAATGTGGAGGATAACCGGAGAACCTGGAGAAAAATTCCATACGACCACGGGTGGAGACACACAAACTCCAAATATACAGCAGGCGTCAGGGTCGGGATCGAACCCACGACCTCCTGCATACCAGGCGAGGTCGTTAACATCTCCTAGCCACCACGAGAGTGGCGGGCGACTCCGAGGAGGAGCCAGAGACGGGTGCGGAGGAGCCAGGGCTGCCAACAGTTGCCCGAGCTCTGCAATCCTCTCCATATGGGCGTATTGGGCAGTACCATAGCGGTGTGGAAGCAGCAGAACAAACACGCACCGGGGTGCTCATGAAACAGTCCAAAATCAACATTTGAATCGGCAAATCTGTTTTTATCAGTGTCTTCAATTGACCCCGTCGCCGCCTCCGAAGTTTGACGCAATTCGAAGGTTTCATAAAAGTTTATTTGAGTGATATAATGTATGTCAAAGGTATTGTCAATCATTAGTAGTAGAAGGGAAAATGTTGATAATTATGTAATTCATGTTTGCCATGAAGTGTATAACATTTGCAAGTGTTATGAGTATAATTATAAATCCCGTCTTACTACCTCTTTCTACTCGAATCCGTGTTGAAGTGCTTTTTTAATAACAGTTGACCGCAAAGTGATGAAAAGTATACCAAAATATAATAATAGGGGTTTTCCCCTTTTTTCTGCCAACAAAACTGAAACCTTTTTGCAAGGAATCATGTTTGCATTAACAACAATACTTGTGGTCAAAATGCAAACAAAAAACACACTGATAATATTTGCATTGTCCTTGAAACTGATTGGTCCAATTGAGCCTCGTCTCAATTGGTACTAAACTAGAGGACGCCAAAAGGCGTACAGCTCAAAGACAATGCCACTATCAAAGTAATGAGGGCTCGGGATAAGCAAGTAAACCAAACTCATTATATTTTTTTCTCACCTTCCTATGGCAACTTATATTATTGGTGAGAGTATATTAGTCGAAGGGAAGATACGTACATGAATGATATGTACAAATAATTGCTATATATAGATAATAAAAAATATCTTTGGTTATCCCAAAATATAATAAAAGCGTAGTAGATTTGTAACAAATTATTTCAAAGGTATTTGTCAAGTCTTTATTATTGCAATTATTTTAGCTATTATTTATGCATTTTTTAATTTCCCTATCATAATCAAGTTGAAATGTCCGTTTCAATTGCTCCAAATACGTATTACTTATGTAATTTATTGTTTTATATATATTTTATTATTTTATTGTTTCCCTTCAACGTGACTTTACCGAAAGAGCTAAGAATATGAATATTACTTATGTTGTTAAGTTTTATTTTAAATTTCGATTTAAAGCTTTCGTGACTGCAGGGATTCATCTTCTTGGTTCTTTTGGTAAAGTAACG